AGGAAAATACCCAGGAGCGGTATAGCTGGGGGGGGGGGGGGGGGGGTGTAGTTCGATTTTACAGTTCTTGAGGAACCTCCATTTTGATTTGCCTAGTAGCTGCACCGGCTTGCATTCCCACCTGAATAAGGGTTGTCCTTCCTCACAGCCTTGCTCCTAGTGGTCACTTTTTTTTTTTATTATTATACAATGTGTCTGTGTGTGTACACAAGTGCAGGTGCCTCGGAGGCCAGAGAGGCCAGATACTCTGGAATTAGAGTCCCAGGTAGGTGTGAGCTACCCAGTCTGGAGGCTAGGATGCAGACACGGGTCCTTTGCAAGAGGAGTGAATGCCTTTAACGGCTGAGCAGTTTTTCCAGCCCTGTGAGGCATTTGCTTTCTTGGTAATAGCCGTTCTGGCTAACATCTAATGAATTCTCAATAGAGTTTCAATTTGCATTTCCCTGTTAGGGGTGTTGAATGGTCTTTCAAATATTTATTGGTCATTTGTTTCTTTTAGGACTATATTCAGTTCATGTGCCCACTTACTAATGAGTGGCTCATTTTTTTAGCTCCCAGTCAGATGTACAGTTGGTATATTTTCTCTCATTGTGTAGGCATCTCTCCACTCTGGTCTGCTTTTGCTGGGCAGCAGCTTTGCATACCATGCAATCCCACGTCTGCTTTTGCCGCTATGCCCTGGCCTATGGTGGTTAGTTTTAAATTCAATTTCCCACAACCGAGAGTCGTCTAGAAAAAGAGCCTCAGTGAGAAACTGTCTAGACGGGGTTAGCTTGTGGGTATGTCTGTGGGAGATTGTCGATTAACTGACCCAGCCTACCGTGGGCGGCACCATTCCTTTGGCTGAGCCCTGGACCGTGTAAGAGCGAACGAAGACAGCCGAGCAGAAAAAGCGAGCTGGTGGCGTGACTACCTCCATTCCTTCCTCTCTGCCCCTGACTTTGTCTTCCCGGCAGGGTTAACTATAACAAGGAATTGTAAGCCAAATAAACCCCTCCTCCTCAGAGACATTTTTGGACAGGGTGCTTTGCCACCGTGGCGGAAATGAAACTAGGACACTGTGTTTACATTTCGTGCTCTCCCCCAGCTGTGTTTCATGCCTCACATTATGGCTTTGACCCAGTTTGACTCAACTTCTGCACAGGGTGTGAGTTGGGCATCAAGTTTTGCTCTTCATGTGGTTAATTTTCCCAGCACCACTGTCTTTTCTCCAATGTATGTTTCTAACACCTTTATCAAATACTTGGTAGCAGGAGCTATGTGTGTTTATTTCTAGTCTACGTCACTGGTCTGCATGTCTTGGGTTTGTGCCGGTACCATGCTGTTTTTCTTACTATGACTCTGTAGCATACTTTAATACTTCTACCATTGTTCTGCTTGTGATTACTTTGGCTGAGTATTTTGCTCTCCCATATAAACTTCAAGGTCTATAGATATATTTTTGTGAAGAATATTACTGGAGTTTTGATGGGAAATGAATCTTTTCTGAGAAAGAAATCAGGAAACTTTTTCAATAGCTTCGGAAGTCTAGCTATAAGCCTGACCAAAGATAAAATATTTCCGACTCAGTGAATTAAGAAAATCCTCCCTTATCTTGTCCCCAAGTGATCCTGATATAGACAATCCCTCTAGCCCCCCTCCCAAATGACTCTACATTGTGTCAAGCTGACAACCCCACACAACCTGAGGCTAGATGAGAGGATCTGATCTTCCCTCTGAGTTAGTTTGCATCTTTCAATTGAACGAAGACTATGTGCACTTGGGACTGTTGAGAGGTTTGCGAGTTGCTGTAATCATGTTTTGGTTCTCGTTTGGATTGTTGCTCCTTTCTCTTCTATCTGTGGTAGGGGTTTCTGGCTGTGTTGGATAAGCTGGATCCTTCCCTAGTCCGCTTTGCTCACAGTTCTATGAAATCCATTCTTCTCCAGTCTCCTTTCTCCCACTGCGTTTAGGGCTCCTTTAAGTATTTCCTGCAATGCTGGCTTGGTGGTCGTGAACTGTTTTAGTTGGTGCTTGTCTTAGGACGTCCTTTTTCTCTCAACTTTAAGAGAATTTTAGTGGATAGAGGAATCTCAGTTGGCAGTTGTTTCTCTTCAGGACTTGACATAACTTTCCTGACTTTGGGGTTTCTATTGGGAGGCCTGATGTTTTTGTACGCTCCTTTTCTCTTGCAACCTTTTCTGAACACTGTGTAGCCCTGGCTTTCCTCGAACTTGGGGATACATCTGCCTCTGTCTCCCAAGTGCTGGGATTAAAGACAGAAGAAACCCTGTCTCAAAACACCAAAGTAAAATAGATATATGTCTTGCAAAACAGGTACTTTACATAAGCTTAAGTTTTTCCTACTTATTTTTCCTCCAAGATCCAGGTTTCCTTCACTTAGTATATGAATTATACGGACTTTCAAAATCTTTAAATTCATTTTATGTATCTAGGTGTTTGGTCTGCACATGTGTGTGCACATCACATGCACGCCTGGCACCCGAGGAGGCCAGAAGAGGGTGACAGAACTAGTGTCGTTACAGCTGGTTAGGAAACACCATGGTGACAGAACTAGTATCATTACAGCTGGTTAGGAAACACCATGGTGACAGAACTAGTGTCATTACAGCTGGTTAGGAAACACCATGGTGACAGAACTAGTGTCATTACAGCTGGTTAGGAAACACCATGGTGACAGAACTAGTATCATTACAGCTGGTTAGGAAACACCATGGTGACAGAACTAGTATCATTACAGCTGGTTAGGAAACACCATGGTGACAGAACTAGTATCGTTACAGCTGGTTAGGAAACACCATGGTGACAGAACTAGTATCATTACAGCTGGTTAGGAAACACCATGGTGACAGAACTAGTATCGTTACAGCTGGTTATCAAACACCATGTGGGCACTGGGAGTTCAAGCCCAGGTCCTCTGGACCAGCGCTCTTAACTGCTAAGCCACTCCCCGGGCTGACTTTCGGTATTTGGTGCCGTATGTAGAAATTCATTAGGAATCTGTGCGTTATTTTAGGTTACACATTCACACATGTGCAAAAGCCATCTCTCTCTCACTGCCATCCAGTCTTGCTGCACGGCTGGGACGACTCCTTAGCAGCCGTGATAGGACACAGCTTCCTCTTCACGGTCCTGTCCCACATCTTGTGGGATTACTGTGCAGCTTAAACTGTATATTGCTCATGTTCAGGACCAGGCCAAGCCTGTCAGTCCTGCTCCAGAGGACCCAATACCCTCTTCTGCTCTCTGCAGCACCCCCACATACATGAGCACACATGTGTGTGCTCACATAAAAGCCAAGTATTTTTAACTTTTCCCTACTTTGCTAAGAGCAATGGTTTTCGCTGCACCAGTTGTGGTGGATAAGCAGTTCATTTTCCTTCCTAGTAAATGTGATAAATCATCAGAAAAGCGATCTCAAACACTTTTACACCATGAAGGAGAAGAGAGAATCCTTTGATAGTGAAAATATATTTATTTACTTTTTTTAATACAATAGCTGCCAGCAATATACTGGTGTTGATGTTCCAGGGAGAAGAAAGAAGAGGCAAGCATTCTGAAACGAGCTTTCATTCCTACCCCCAGGAACTCTACAAAAAAATACTCCAATCCTGTTCAGCATTATGGTTTGGGACTTAAATTTTTTCCACAATAAAATAACTTTAGCTGCCCCCCCCCCGAAAATTGTAAAGATGAACCTTTAGAAGTCCACTGTGAGTTTCACTAACAAATGCTCTCTCTCTCTCTCTCTTGCTCTCTGAACCAAATGGCGATTACTGCAGCCTAAGAAACTGGTGAGTCCTTTACAGCTTGATAAGGTGTAGACCAAAACCTTCACTAAAAAAATACTTTCTACTTCCCCTCACTTTTACTTTGTAGCTGTTTCCTAAATAGGGTTTTGTTTTGTTTTTTTTAAAAAAGCATGAAGACATAAAACCTATCTCCATGCGCGCCTCTGGTGAGGTCCCAGAAGACTAACCCAGTTGAAGTACAAAAGCCTATGTCCTAGCGCTGACCCACCCACCGGGTGTCCAAACCCCTCAGTCTCTTAATGGTATGCAAACTGCTCAATACTTTAGAGCTATGAAAGCTAATATTACGAGAAAATCTTATTTGCATTGTACTCAAGATCCGTAGCTAGAGAACAAAGGAAGTTATAATAATTACAACAGTTCCTCAGGATCCACTGAGGAGCAGGGAGACTCCACTCAGAATCCCGGCTCGGAGGAAAGGAGGGATGAGCCGCCGGTGTGGACGTGAGACTAGATGGCTCCTGGATTCAGCCCCTACACCGCACCGACTGCATGGAAATGGTCACATTTCAGCACCTCAAACCTCAAGGCTTTGGCCACGATCTTTGCACAGATGGAGCGGTGGGTGCTTGCTGTGGCCCTTCCTCCTTACAGCTTCTGTCCATTTGTCAAACTCAAATTTGTTTCACTTTCTTCATCTAAAACTGGCTCTACAGAGAAAAACAACTCTGCCTTTGTCAAAACCAAGGCAGGCTTCCCTTCCTTGGATGGACAACTAGAGACAGCAAGAGCAACCAGGAGGCAAATTAGGAAGCCACGGAGAAGAAACACCCAAGGGTGGGCACGTCAGCCACAGCCTCTGGTGGGAGCCCCCACTCACTCCATCCACTTGCAGAAAGAAGAGGCATTCGTTCTCTGGAATCTTCCTCATGAAAGATGCAACCCCACCCAAGGACAAGCTGTCACTCTGTAAAGTTGGGACACTTCTGCCCATGGAGACACTGCAGGACCATTTCTCAAAGGAGAAAAGATAATGTTGTCCGACGTCCCAACCCCTTCCGGAACCAGACATCACCACCCAGTGTCTGCACAGTGATGGGTGCCACACCCTGATCAGCAATAAGGGTGAAGCCATGGCCAAGGCATCTCCCTGAGCCACAGGGGTGCGCGGCGCTAAAGCTTGTCCCCGTGCTAAGAGAATTCCTGCTAAGTTTGAAAAGGGGCTGCTTATGAGTCAGAACACTTCCGCAGAGCCGACTTATTTATTTACTGTCTGCACACCAAAGGGGAAAGCAGGCCACCTTAAAGCGGTGCATTGTAGGACGGAAAGCCTGCGAGAAACAGCACTTCTTTAACAAGTTACATTTAAAAAAAAAATCACCAAAAATATAACAGAGTCACAAACAGGCTCTGGGGTACTATGTAGAAAGTCCACTTTGTTTGGATGGGACGGGGACAGTAACCACACAGCAAATCTCTTTTTCCAAACTCATTCTCTTTCATCTTAGACTTTGTTTAAAAAATGAGAAAACAAGCCAGACGTGATGGTGCAGGCTCATAATCCCAGCATTTGGGAGGAAAATGCAGGAGGATGCCACAGCTTTGAGGCCAATTCGTTCACCTCCCAAGTCCCAGGCCAACCAGACCTTCAGAGAAACATCTCATCTCAGAACAAAGGGCAAGAAAAGAACAGAGTGCTATTCCTTGGCGTGGCAAGTGACATTAGGCACAGCTGTGGGAAATCCACACTATGACAACCACAATGTATCCCAAGAAGGACCTCACACTTGGTCTAATGTAAATGAAGGGGGGACGGGAGCATGTGACCTGTGCTTCATGGGAGTTTAAGATGGGCCAGATGATGCATACTTCACCCCGTTCCCCAGAGACCCTGCTTTAGGAGTTAAGTGTACTTGACTTCAATAAGCTCACCCTGAACCCCATGAACTAGAGAGAGAGAGACAGAGAGAGACAGAGAGAGAGAGAGAGAGAGAGAGAGAGACAGAGACAGAGAGAAAGAGAAAGAGGGGGAAAAAAACCTGTTAACAATGGAGGCAGCAATACTGCTGCAAACGTAAGCATGGTCCTGGGTGAACCCACGGAGCAGATAACGTAAGACAAAACCCACCCATCTTATCATCGAGAATGTCTTCCCAGCACTCACTCTCTCAGTTTCTGCATAGTATCAGATGTTACAATTTATACAAATGACACATTTTAGGTAAAATTAAGTGTCTGCCAAGAAACCAGCAATCTCTCTGCGGAAGGTGGTCTTCCCAGACAGCACACTCCAGCACAGCCTACACTGAGACAGTGTGTCCAACACAGTAGCAATCCTTCCATATTCGCTATTCAGTACTACAACTCTCCCCCATACATAAATATTCTTTGTACCATGCATTATACACCAGCGTGGGGCCACTGTTGTCATGGCTACTATTCTAATGGTTGAACATTGCACCTCAAATTCTGTCACCTACATGCAGTGAATGGACATGAAGGTCGGGGCTCCAGACTGATGGCAAACTGCCTCTCATGTGACGAGCTGGTGGCGGAGTACCTCCGACGGGCAGGGCAGGTGGGCTGGGCAGAGGACTTTAGAATAATACTGCTTAGGAGTGTGTACTGGAGATGGCTACTACACTTTGTCTAGCTTTAATCCTAGTCTTGAGTAACTGCATGTTCATGCAAAATAACTTCTACTTTAGAGGAGGCAGGGCAGTCTGTTAGGAAAGCGTATTTGGGGGGAATCTGAAGGCATCTCTCTCAAAAGTGCTGTCTACTTGGCAAGTCTCTTGGCGACATCACTGTAAGCGATTTCTACCTCCTTGTCGCTGGGACAGGTGTTGGTGAACTCATCCCTGCTGTAGGCATTTGTCAGGTACCTCCAGATGCCCGTCATTTCTTTGGGAATATCGAAGTTGCGGTATTTTTTGGCCACCACCTGAAATACAAGAGATCAAGAGTTACATCCACCTTCCAAGTGGCCACACTAGACTAGTAATTCTGTGAACCTCTTGTCCACACATTCTGGGGGCAGGAGCTCTTCCAGAGGACTGCAGATCTGTTCCCAGCTCCCATGAAGGGAGCTCACGACTGCCTGTAACTCCACCAAGAGGGGAAAGGCACCTCCTTCTGGCCTCCAAGGTTACCCAGGTGAACGCGCGCACACAGAGAGCAGCTAAGCTCGCATGGACTAGGACCACATGCTACTCCATGCACTTGGCAATGCGCAGTGGCTACGGCAGCCTGCCCTGCACATGGGGGGTGGCTGGGTATAATCACTGGGTTATTAGTTTTTAAACATATACTATTTTAAGATTGTTTTCTTTTCTTCCTTTTTTAGTTTAACTGGGCTGGTTTTTTTGGTACAATCTCATGTTAGTTATGCTGGCCTTGAACTCTTGATTCTCGTGCCTCCATCTCCCAAATGCTGGGATTGCATGCCAGGTTCTAAAACTGTTTTCCTTATCTTAGATCTTTACTGCAGGAGTAATGCTCATTTAATAACTCGGGTACTTGGCATTTCAATTTGGAATGAAAAGGGCCAGGCGGGTGATGATGACCAGACAGGATTTGACGGTGTTGGTTCAGTGCAGAGTTACCTATTACATCTTTGACTTTTTATTCAATCACAAGAAAAAAATTCTTTCTTCTCCCTGAGACAGGGTCTCATAAAGCCCAGTCTGGCCTTGAGGGGGCGCTCTGATCCTCCGCCCTCTATTTCCTACCTAACTGGCTCTAGGCCGCGTTGACTGTGTGTTCTCTGGCCGGGCGGGGGAAGGCTCCCATGAGGGGCGCTGCTCCAGGCAGCACCCCACTCCCCGCAGGCCTACCTTGACGATGTGTAGCTTGGGCAGCAGGTTGCAGTCCGCTAGCGTCATCTCATCGCCATCCAGGAATCTCCTGGTGGAGAACTTGATGTCCTCCATGCTGTTCTCGTCGATCTCATCGGGAAGGGGAGAGTTCAGATACTCATCCAGTTTCTGCAGTGTCTTCAGGAGCCCCCTCTCCAGTGCTGAAACAGATGTGAACACTGTCAAAGAGGAAGCCCAGCCCTGGGCAGGGGCTGATGTTGACTCAGACCCTCAGCTCCTCCCCTGGAGCCTGGCTACACGATCGTTCCGGCAAGGGCGGAAACAAATGAGAGTCCTGTCTATTCTGCCAACCAGCAAACTGTCCCGTCCCCGCCCCAACATACAAACACGCTACAGCCCAACCCTGTTGACATTAAAACTCAAAGGCAGGGGGGAAAAGCAAGTCTACTGATTCACGGCTAGGAGAAATTCCTGCTGAGAAGCGGAGCATAATCCTGCTCACTGGAGACCTCGGGATTCACCATGAAGAAATGTGCCAAGAGGCACCAATGCCTGAGCAGACAACGTAAACAGGAAGCCTGGGATCCTGGGATCTCACCCTGCCTTGTCACACAAGAGGCCAAGAACAGGACTGCCTTGCCCAAGGCACTCGCTCAGAACGGAAAGTCACAGCTACAGTACTGAGCTGGCAGTCTCCTCGAGAGCCAAGAGGACTATCATGCCTCAGAGAGTTGGACTAAGCCACTTGCGAGCACCCGGGAAAGCAGAGAGGCAGGCAGATCTCTGTGAGTTTGAGGCCAGCCTGGTCTACAGAGCGAGTTCCAGGACAGCCAGGACTACACAGAGAAACCCCTGCCTCAAAAAACAAAACAAAAACAGTGAAAATGGAGAGAAGAAAATTAGTAATAATTTGTTAATCATTATTAGTAATAATTTATGATTAATCATAAAGGATGGCCATGGAAAAAAGATACAAACGGGCAGTAGAATGTTCCAAAAACAGTGTTAGCCAATGAACCTAGCAAAGTTCTAAAGCTTATAGCACAGGCAAAGACGTTTGTCATGAGGATAAAGAAAAACCAAGACTAACCACTGGGAGGCAGTAGCATGTCACCCAGTGCTCTGTCTGCAGGTTAGGACTGTTACTTTCCCATCTCTAAGAAGCTATTGAAAAAAACAAGAAAAAAGAAAGTGTAATGCAGTAAATGCAGTACAGCCTGCTTAAAATTAATTATGAAAATAAAAACCATTTTGGCTCTGGAAATACAGCAAAATTTAAAAATGCAGACACGTGTGAGTCAGAAGTCCATGGAAATGAACATTTTGAGGTTAGTGAAAATACAAACTGGTACAGATTTTGAAACTATGGCAAATTAAAATGCAAAGAATTGCTGGCCATGGTGGCACAAGCCTGTCATCTGCATTCAGGAGAGCTGGGCCACAGAGTGAGACACCACCTCAGAGGAGGGGGAAAGGCTCAAGAATCTGGCTCAAGGATCTCTCCTCAAGTTGGGAGCTCTGGGCTGACTAACCTCTGGTATCTGAGTATGAGTGGAGGGTGGCAGAGGTGTTTCTCCTGCTTGGTGTCCTCTGCTGGCCACTCCTCCTGCTGTCCCTGACTGCTCAGCCTTGATTTGGCACCTAGGCCCAGCTGCCCACTGGGACTGTCTGCCAATATTTGCTCTCCCGAGATCTTTCATGCCTCCTGGCTGTCCCTGGGGTAGGAATGGTGGTGCCGAAGCTCCTTAGACTTGTGAAGGACCATTGCTGCTTCTTTCTCCTTCCTTCCTGCCCCTCCTTGGCTGGCAATCCAGAACCCTCTGATGACCAGAGAAAAGGACTTGACTAGACTTTCTGAACTTGAACAGTTTCAGGTTATATTTAATTTTTTTTTTGTACAGGTTGATTCTAATACATTTCAACATGCCTCTTTCTCAAAAAAAAAAAAAAAATCTGGCTCAAGGACAGTCACTGGCAGCACAGCCCTAGCCAAAACCCCTTGAGGCCATCTACAAGGTCCAACAACTGGGAACCCGTAGCTACAATCCTACCGTGCATTTCTCAAGCCTGAGGCAGACTTATTTGGACTGGAAGGACTGGACCTCCGCTGGGGTGAAGGTAGTGCAATTCATGGTATCCTGACTCCGCCTCCGAGTGACAGGAAGCTTTCTAATATATAGTAATGTGAGCACGCACAACACAGTTTTACATAAAATGACTTCCCAGTCACCTAGGATCTGTCACTGAAATTATATTGAATTTACCATCCAGCTGTGAGTCAGAGGGGATTGGAAGAAGGGTCTTCTGGATAGGACAGAAGCCCTGTACTCAAGAAATCGCAGGACAAACCAGTCAGCATTCAAGCATGGGAATGGGGGGCTGCCTGAGCCCCAGTCCTAGCTGAGGAACTGCTGACGGTTGATGGCTTCTGGGGGAAGGAGGGTGAGCTTTCTTTAAAGCTGTGGTCCTGGTAGGTCACCCAGGCTCCAGTGGATGCTCCACACCCAGGAATAGATGAACAGTACAGATTTTGTATCAGTGGGTTATTTTAAAAGAAAACAAGAAGTTTCTTAAATGAAGTTGAAAGAGCGGGGAGATGGTGGTGAATCTGGGTGGCGCTAGTGGGAGAAGAGTGGACGGATCAAAATACATCGTGTGCGTGCAGGGCAGTCTCGAAGAATAAATGCCGTATTACAAAAAATTATCCCTGTATCATCTCGGCTTTTCCAATGAGCAAATCTTGCTCTATTACTTACATGATCTGAATGGACAGGTTCAAGGCAGAAGCGTTAGATGTAACATAAACATTTCTGCTGTTAAAATAAATATAGCAATCTAAGCGCTGGCCCTTGCCCACTTTCCCTAGACATCTAAATTAGGTCCTAGGGGTCTTTAAACTCTTCACATACATTGGATTTTCCAAATATTTACTAGGCTGATAAAGCAGAGACTCATCAATGAGAAGCGACAGCACACCTCTGTGAATGGCATTGTGAGAGTTGGGAGACGGAGAAGAGCAACACACACACACACACACACACACACACACACACACACACACACACAAGCATTCAACTCAAATTTGATTTGGAAGTGTTTCCTAAAGCCTCAGGGCAATGACAGGTCCCTGTGGAGAAATGTAGCAAAGCAGCTCGGCAACTCAAATCCCCGTTTACCAGTAGACATCGACTATGCACAACTCAAATCCCCGTTTACCAGTAGGCATCCAACTATGCACAACTCAAATCCTCGTTTACCAATAGGCATCGACTATGCACAAAGCCTCCAGCATTAAGTGCTTGCTGAGTCCTTTGCTTACTGCTTGCAGCGCTCTAAAGACAGCAGCGTAGGTGGCCACTTAAGGCACTAACAGAAGTTGACAGATAAAAAATAGAATACAAACTTATACTTAAGTGAGTCACTTTCTCTTTCCCCACCCCCATCACCCAAGGCAAAGGAAAACTCATTTTATTCTCCTGTCCTCCCCATTACGCAGTAAAAGAAATCCAACCAATTCTCCAGCCCTCAAAAACTGCACACAGAATAAAAACATCACAACGGTGAAAAGCACAGGGGGCTGGCCAGCTAGCAGGCCTGGGACAAAAACCAGCTCTAGGGACACAGTAGCCTGCATGCGCAGGGAGCTAACGACACTCTGGGAAGAAGGGACTCCAGCTTAACCGTCTGCTTAGGAACAAGATTTTCAGTCACTGAACCCCAGACACTAAGAGTAAAGACAGGCAAATCCTACACTGAATTATGAAATGCTGCCATCTTAAACCGGATAGCAGAAAGGAGACAGAATAGCTGGGAGCGGAAATAACAGGGAAATCAGCAAGTACTTCACTCTTAGGTGTTAGCTGTTATTAACAGCCCTGTTCACCATCCCCACCCCCCACTCCATCCCATAGGCTGCCAGAGCCTTGACCTCAGCCCAAGCTACCACGCTGCCTACAACCAGAACAGACTCAACATATTTTTAGAGGGCAGATTTTTGTCTGTATTCTGTTACAGCCCTAAATTTGGGGGGTTTGGGTTTTTGCTTTGGTTTTCTGACAATTTCAGGTAGCCCAGGCTGGCTTCATACTCCCTATCTTTTAATTAAAACAAACAAATTATATCTATACTACTAAACTATCCCTCGCCATAATAACACTCTGAAACAAAATCTCTAGTTTTATGATGCAAAGAGATGTACGGGATGAGGAGTCTTAACCACCTTCTAAAGGCCACCCCCAAAACTGCTCAGGAAGAGGAATTCATTAGCACACATGTACACAACAAAGCACAGGACCACAAGCTGCCCATACCCACAATAAACACGGGATTCAGTAAGCAGTCAGTCAAATCTAAATCTATTTCATTACCACAGCCACTCTGCCCACTGCTCTGCCTGTGCCCTCAGTACCCTGGAGGGTAACTCCTCAGTGTCTGTGCGCTCAGTGACCGCCCCCACGGCGGCTACCAGACTCCAGGCACTGGAGGGGGTCCTAGAAGAGCAGCAACTCCTCCGCACGCTCCTCACGCTCCCTGGCTTCCTAACAGCTCACACTGTCTTTGGGGTTTGGCTACACTCAGCTTCCTGCTGTGACACCCAATTTAAAACTTTTTACCTTCGTTAGCCTCTGGCCTCGAGTTCTTGATGTAAGCAGAGAATTTGGCAAAGATGTCCATTCCGGCAGTGTTTGACTCTGGGTGTTTTGGTGACAGCTTTAAGTACCTACACAGAAAAGGTGACACTGGGTTACAGATCCTTCCAGAAGAATTACCCGAAGTCTGATCCGTCACCAAGCCACTGAGCAGGTGACACCAGCCATCTTTCAACACTTACTGTTTCTATGGTTGGTTTTGAATGTTAGGAAACAAAGCTGTGCACGGTGTTTTTGTTCACATATTAATATTCTTGGCAATCAAAGGGCATCCCCTCCCCACCTCCACTTAATGATAAGAATGCTAAGGAAATGGCGTGTTAAGGGGCCTGGACCAGGAGAACACACATGCCCTAGAAGAGACTTCTCATGCAGGCCATCCCAGGGAGCTTTCATGGTAAATAAAGGGAATGTACTCAACTCCATCTTCACATCCAGTGTGGCACCCATTAGTGCCAAGACACTATCAGAACACAGCTTTAAAAGAAGCACAAAGAAATAAAGCAAGGCACACTCCAATGCTCGGTGGCCGGGAGACACAGCTCCCACAGCTGGGTGTTTAGTATGCCGGGCACTGGCCTGGCCCTGTGCGGCAGCATGAGGGAACCAGACAGCAGGAGGAGCCCAGGCTGGTCAAGCATCTTGATCATCCACAGGCGGCTGAGGACAAAACAGTGAGTGGACCATTCACTTCCAAACAGCACCCGGCTTCTCCCTCCACTCCCCGTGCTAAATGCGCTGTGGTATATTTAGGACTGTGGGGCTGCACAGTAAATAAACAGGACGCCGGGATCACACCAAACCCTCTTTTGTGCCGTGACCAAGTATTCATCCTTAAGAAAGTCACGACACCAGTTGTAAACAGGCATGCACACATGTTTACATTTTAACCACACACATTCAGTGCTTCTTCCTTAGAATGGGAAGTCGGTGGGGAAAGGCTGGGCACCTCCTCCCTTCAGCAGGGCTTGCTTCCTCTCCGAGAGGCCCCAGCCCTGCTTCAGAGAATATTCTTCAGCTGGAGGACCCTAGAGAATCAGGTAAAATTCCACAACTAAACTCCTTATTTTAACTTGTTCTAGAGGACGCTGTCTGGTCTTCATATACATACATACATACACACATACATATATACATTCCAGGCTGGCTTGAGTGCTGAAATCTGCCTGGTTTATTTACATTTCTTCTGCTTGCTTTTGTGGATTCAGTAAAGGTCTATCCTCTAAAAACTCAAGCTGGTTTTCTTTTTAATAAGTCTACCCAGTCTCCAAATTTCTCAATTTTTAACCCTAGGAACTTCTCCCATAAACATTACACCAAGTGTTTTAGTGAACAAATCTAATGAGTTTATCTGAATCAGACGTGTGCACCAATGTTCTTCCCCACTACAGAGGTCTCTCCCCACCACCTGAGTGGAGACAGCTAATCCCAAGGCCAATAGGCCTGGATTTCTTGGCTCTGAAGACAACCAGCTCTTCATCAACAACAGCCAGTCATCAACAGCTCTCACAGTAAAGACCACGCCGAGCATCCCAGCAGAGCCAGTGCAGAGAACACAGCGCCTCTTCAGCGCACCCATGGCTTCCTCTAGCCCAGTGTGCAAAATTACTCCCGTGCACACCTGTGATCCCCACTCTGGTGAAGCTGAGGCAGGAGAATAGTGAATTTGAAGCCACAAAACAAAATAGAGTGGCCTATCTTATATACAGCATGCCTCTGGAGTTACACACTGACATTGGTCATCTTCAGCCCTAATCGTCCATCTCTAGCAGCAAAGCACAGTTCAGTAAACCAGAGATGATCAGTGACCCAGAGCATCTGCTGCCCTTGCAAAAGAGGACACGGATTCAGTTCCTCCATCCATGTGGAGGCTCACAACCACCTGTAACTCAGTTTCAGGGGACCCAGCCCCTTCTGAAGACCTCCACGGGCTCCTGCACACACAGGTGTGCACAGAACACTCAGGAACACACACATACACACTAAACATAACTTTTAAAACCTCAAATTTCAAAGCTTTTTGGATAAGTAGGTCCTTAATTAAAATAAAAATAAGACTAAAATCTAAACCCTAACTATGACTAAATTAATAACTAATACCAATAACTTTCCCCGAGGGACAGGAGAAAGCCGACAGAGCCTGCAGAGTCTCACAGAAAGGCTCTCCGTGTTCAGCTTTGCACTAGTGGCCACATCTCAGGAAATGCCAGCGCGCTTGCACCTGCCCTGCAGGGGTGGCATCTTAGTGCTCACAGTTCCAACTGCTGCTTTAGGACGGGCTGGTCTACCCGCTAGGGCAGTTCTGCGGCCCAGCCCCCTCCCCTACACAGGGCAGCGTACAAACAGCAGGAAGAGCTCTCCTTAGGTCTGGAGTCAACAGCAGCTCCACAAGTGAGTCTGAGACCAGCCTACGCTACATCAGACCTTATTTTTTTAAAAGGAGGAGTAAGGAGGAAGAAGGATGAAAAAAAGGCTATCTATATAAAACATTACTCAGAAACTCTTCAGGTTATCTATAAAGAAAAAGAAACTACTCTAGAAAGAACTTAGCACACTACAAACACTAGAATAGAAAGACTTTTGAGTTTGGATCGAAAGAAAATCCATCTCCAGTTACAGCAGCTTTGCACCTGCGCAAATAAAACGGAGATGAAAGAACAAGCTGGTGCTGCAGAGGTGGCCCAGCTGCTCTTCCAGAGTCCTGGGTTCAATTCCCAGCACCCACATGGTGGCTCACAACCATCTGTAATGAGATCTGGTTCCCTCTTCTGGCGTGCACCATGCAGGTAGAACACTATAATAATAAGTAAATAAATCTTTAAAAAAAAAACTTAAAATATTCTTGAAAAATGCACAGAATGAGCAATTCAGAAATGGTTTACAACAAAGTAATTTCCTTCGTCGAGACTGGATATATCTTCCAAATACCTCTCCACTTAGAATCTAAGGTCACCACAGTGATCTACATGAGACGATCATTTTCAATCAGTGGTCTGAGAACAAGCTGCCAATTCGGTACCTTCCTCAGAGCTGACAGACTTAAGAACAGAGAGATCTAGAGGTGTCCATGATGCAGCAATCCAGAGATGTTTCCAGGAAGTCAGAAGTCTGTTCCTAGCTGAGTGTCCAGAGGGCCCTCCCTATCTGCTGTGGGAGGCCTTGGCTGTGGTTTGTGGACATCCAAACTAGATGCATGGGCTGAGAGAGGGGTTAGGATCTGTTTTCAGTGTTTGCAGAAACTGCTCAGGAAATGAGAGGCCACCGGGACTACTGGAGAGAGAGATAAAAGAAGCAAGGACAGAGAAGAGCTAGCCAACTTTTAGTATTTTAGAGCAGGACCAAGAGAATGTAGTTTTAGGTTTAGCACAAAATTGGCAACCCAGGGGCAGTTCTCCTCACAACACACATCGGGCTAATCACAGACAGAAGGATGGCTTCCCACATCTTTCCTTTCTACGGTCCTCAAAAGAAACACCTTTTAGCCAATATAGTCTCTTGCCCCAAAATGCTCATCACTCCTCTGTTCACCTGCTGCACACCGGCTTAAAAGTAAGTAAAGCTTAGGTAAGAGTCATCTCTTCTCCATACAAACCTTCCCTCCACCCATTCCTGTATCACCACCTGTATTTCATTGTATGCAGTTGGTTTTGTGAGACAGGGTCTCCCTCTGTGGCCCTGTCTGGCCTGGAACACACTTTAGACCAGGTTGGTATTGAACTCAGAGAGATCTGCCTGCCTCTGCCTTCCAAGCACTGGAACTGAAGGTGTACACCACTAGGCCTGGCTACTGCTGTGCTTTTTTAAGAACAGGAGCTAAGCTTCCGTTCCTGCTGATCCACGCTGTTCTGCTGTCTTAATAGCTACAAAGAAGACGGATTGATTGAAGAACTGATGAGTGGATGGATGAATGGACTGATGGATGGATGAGTGGATGCTGGATGGAGATGAATTGATGGGGAGATGGACGGATGATGAGCAACTAATTTTGGAACCATCTGACCCAGTAATCCCTATCGCTGGGAAAATTATCTGGACATGAAGAGTAAAGGCAAAAGCAACTGGCAAGAAATGATGGGTCAGGAAAAAGAAACACATTTTCTGAGCTGAAGAGATGGCTTAGTGGTTAAGAGCACTGGCTGCTCTTCCAGAGGTCCTGAGTTCAATTCCCAGCACTCACATGGTGTTCCACAATTGTCTATAATGGAATCCAGTGTCATCTTCTCATATGTAGACAAAACACTCAAATACATAAAATACACAAATAAATACATCTTTACAAAAAGAAAAGAAACATATTTTCAGGTTAATTAAGCCAGTAAAGCCTAAAAGAAAACCAATAACACTTTGAAAATAGAAGGATACAAAACCTTCTCTGCAGCTTAAATTTCCACTACAATGCCAGAGTCCTGGTTGTCAACTCTGCAGGAATCTAAAGCCATCGGAAGAGTGCCTGGAAACAAAGCTTAATTCAAAGTGTGGCACTGTGTCCACAATTCTCATACTCACTTGGGGGGGCACAGGACTTCTTCAAGAAATTCCTCAATCTTATTTACATCCGTTTTGACCTCGCTGTTGAAGGTTATAAACGGTGGGTGGGTCCCGGGAGCCAAGTTCTGCAGATCTGCAGGCTTCCTGTTAGGCAAAACAGTGGTCAAGATGAGATCACTTTCCACTCTAAAGGCAGAGCAAGTTCTCGGCGGTTCTAACTCTTAAGCGTCTGGAAGAGCAAGCCCCAGTGTTTGCTCACCTAGTGTAAGAGTGCACAGCGCTCTGACAAGCACCGACCCCACACACAGCACATCATGTATGGTAAGAGCAGTAAGAGTCACTGATTTATCAACCAAAAGACAATCCTTCATCCCTGGGCCTGGAATATGTTTGCTCTTACAGAGGACCGATGTTTAGCTCCCAGCACCCACACAGGACAACTCACGACCACCTGTAACTCCAGATCCACAAGATCTGATACCCTCTTCTAGCCTCCATCGGTACCAGCACTCACATGCACAGGCACGTACAGGCACACAAACACATGGTTTAAAAGGAGTAAATAAATTTTAAAAAGATAAAAAAACCAAATTCCTTCATTCTCATTCCAAATTCAACTAGGCAGCTTAAAGGTGGTGGTAAAATGAGGGGCAAAGACTTAAGTCAGTCTGCGGCTTCAACCCTAACACTTCCTACCTCTGACCAGGAGAGAGGAATCAAACTTCTTCAGGCCCGCAGCCTTTCCCAATTTTGTTTTGCTTTGTTTGGGGGTGGGGGGTGGGCATAAAACAAAGAACAAGCTCCCGCAGTCCTGAGCCTTAAGAAGAAATCCTGATCCCTGTACTATCTCTACATGAGTTAGACTAACACAGAGAAAGATGCCTGGGAGGGTATCTAGTCTCCCAATACGTAAAAGATGGTATGAGCAAGGTAGAAAATAGTACAAAATAGGAGCTGGAGAGAAGGCTCAGAGGTCAAGAGTGCTGGCTGCTCTTCCAAGGGTCCTGAGTTCCAAGGGTCCCGGCAACCACATGGTAGCTCACGACCATCTGAAATGAGATCCGATGCCCTCTTCTGGTCTGCAAACATGCGTGTGGGCAGAACACTCTACATAATAAATAAATCATTTTTTAAAAAAGGAAATAGCACAAAGTAGATATTCAGCATGTTAAAAATACAAGAACTTTTTCAAATTAATTTTAAGCCATCAAAAGATTAAGTAAAGCCAGGAATGGTAGCATACCCTTTAGTCTCAGCAGATCTTGGTGAGTTTGAGGCCAGCCTAGTCTACATAGCTAGCTGAAAGACAGCCAAGGGTATAGACCTTGTCTCCAAAAGGAGACAGACCCTGTCTCAAAATAAATAAATAAATAAAGTAAGTAAGTAAGAGGGAGAAGAGACTGGAGAAATGGCTCAGCCGTTAAGCGTACTGGCTGGCTACTCTTCTAGAGAACCAGTACCTACATGGTAGCCAAGAATTAACTGTGACTCAAGTCCAAGGGGATCCAATGTCCCTCCACAGGCTGTAATGATTCCAGAGGGAAAGGGACATGGTGGGTGAGAGCCAGAGATGTCATACACCATGCAGACAGAGCTTGAGAGCAGAGTTTATTGAGAGAAGGGTAAAGGAGAGAGAGAGAGAGAGCACCCAAAACCTGCTTGCCTCTGCCTCTTCAGAAGAACAGGAAGAGAGTGGCAATGGGCAGAGCTTGTCTCTTTAAGGGACCTTTTGCACCTGCATACCCTGGGCTTGCTAGGCTGCACTGCCCACTGCCTGAGTGCATCCCACCAGGTAACAGGGGTCTGCATAATGCCTGACTCCTAACACAGGCACTGCACAGACATACACAGAGGCAAAACGCCCACACGCATAAAATGAAAATAAAATCTAAGAAGAAATAGAATTGGCAAGAGGCAACCTGGGAGTGGTGGCACACCTATAATCTGAGAATTCAGGAAGCTAAGGCAAGAGGATCAACCCTGGCCAGACTGGGTATCACTCAAAGAATGAAGACAGTAGAATCTCTAAAAGCAAGACTATCTCAAAGACAATAAAGAGTTAGGAGAGCCGGACAGTGGTGGCGCACGCCTTTAATCCCAGCACTCGGGAGGCAGGCGGATCTCTGGGAGTTCGAGGCCAGCCTGGTCTACAAGAGCTAGTTCCAGGACAGGCACCAAAGCTACAGAGAAACTCTGTCTCGAAAAACAAAAACAAAAACAAACAAAAAAAAAAAAGAGAGATTCAATGTGCAACAAGGAAGACATTTTCCTACTAGGTATCAGTATTGTAAAACACTGATAAAGATGGCTAACTTTATAATTATAACCCCAACAGCAAGGAATATTGCTCTTACTTGACTAAATAAAGCTTACCCCGCCCTCCAGGGAATATTAGCATCAGTGTGTGATTGGTGTATTATTTGGTCAGTGACAAGACAAATCATAAAGCATCATGACATTCACTCTGAATCTAATCTCACCTCTGGGACATGTATTTCCCAAAGCTAGGCCTAAACTGGGCACAGTGGGGCTCGCCTTTAATCCCAGCTCTCAGGAGGCAGAGGTAGGTGGATTTCTGTGAATTCCAGGCCAACTAGGACCCTACAGAGACCAATATAGAGGCCCTGTCTTTGGGAGGGTGGCAGAGGAGGTCAATAAACAAAGTGAGGTCTAGGACCCTTTTGTTTTGCAGCTCACGTTTAAAAATTCATCTAAGCTAGAGAGATGGTTCAGAGGTTAAGAGTGCATGCTGATCTTCTAGAGGACCCAGAGTTCAGTTCCCAGCACCCACACAGGGTGGCTCACAGCCACTGTAACTCCAGCTCAAAGGATCTGATGTCTCCTGCTTCCTAGGGCACAGCACTCATGTGCACATATTCACACACCGACAGACACACGTACCTCCTCATAGCCCTGTGTGGTGACCAGACGTGTAGCCCAGCACAGCACATATCCACACATAGACACACGTACCTCCTCATAGCCCAGTGTGGCGACCAGACACGTGTAGCCCAGCACTCAGGAGGCTGAGGCAGAATCCCTTCACTCCAGAGCAGGCTGGGCTGCACAGAGTTCCAGGCCAGCATAAACCACAGAGGACACACAGAAAGCAAACGCCCACAGCACCTGGAGACATACACTGAGAGAACTAGAACAGAAATGGCCAGGAATTACTCGGAAATATTTTAGAAAAAGATTCACTGTGTTCAAATTCACTTGAACCCACATCCAAGCTGGTACTGAACTTCTGATGCTCTTGTCTTTGCCTCCAGAGTACTGGGATTATGGGTGCGGGCTACCTACCATTCCTGGCTAATTCTATCCTGATATGTTTGAAATTTTCATAATTAAAAAAGAAGCTAACAACATGTCCCTTCAGAGAGCTTCCCACACCATCACAACCCACAGAGCTATTTATCTTATTTTTAAATTAGCCAGCCCGCCTGCTCTTTTCCTTCCTTCCTGACCACAAATGCAAAGAATTTGAATTTTAAAATTTTTTTTAAGTATATCACAAAGAAGAATTACTTTGACATTAAAAAGGATTTGCAAAAGAATGGACTCTACACAGTACAATTAATCCTGCTACAGCCATTTCCCCAGGCCCCACTCATTCATGCCTGCTCTCTGGTTCTATCTTTTAATTTAGGTTAGGAAAAAAGTGCCTCTTTCTTTGGCTATACTCCAACCAAAGATAAAAAGATTAGCTTGTGCTGATGTTTTTAATCCCAGCACCGGGGGGCATAGTAAAAGCATAAAGGTGAAAACATAAAGTCTGTACTTTTATGAATGTTATTTTTTGAACAGGTTGGAGTTGGATAAAAGGGAAAAAAAGGCTCAGTGTTTTAAAAACAGCCCAAGGAGGGGACCACGTAATTAGTTCCTGCTTCCACTGCTGGGTGTGGCAACTTTTCTTAGAGAAGGCGCAAAACAAATGAAGTCAGAATGAAAGGACTGGATAGAGCCTCGACTGCTGGCTCTAAGGTCACCTACACCACCAGTGACCAAGCAGACAGCAGCTAAGCAAAGGTATGCAAATGAAGCCATTAGGGCTTCCAGGGTCCCGTTAACAAAGCTTTCTGTAAGGGGGTAGGTTAGGTTAGTTTTAACTTTAATGGAGTTAAGGGTTCAGAATTGGTTTTTCAGGATCAAATGATTTGTAATAATAAAATCTGACTAATTTAGAGGATTTATTTGACAATGGGACATGAAGCCAGGCATACTTATAATAACCAATTTTCATCAATATTAATGACTGGTTAACTAGTCTATCTTATTTCTACTTGAAAGCTATACAGACTTTGAAAACAACAAAGGCTGTAAAACTGCTTTCAAGGATTAGTTGTTGACATAAAGGCCCTTCTATCTAGGGAGCAACCTCAGCATCTCTCAGTGGCAAGCAGCAGAGATAAAACAGGAGTGCCAGGCAGGGAGGAGACTCTTCCACACAGAGCCACCTGTGACTGCGGGTCCTCCCCTAGTGCTCGCGTGACCCACGACAGCCCCTTTCCCAGATGTCTTCCAGACAGGAGCTGCGGCTGGAGACAAGCCACAAGGTACCGGCTGAGCACTCTAGGACATCTGGTTTATTTCCTAAAAGGCCCTCAACCCATATCCTGCAGTTCACTTAAGATCATTCAACTTCCCCAAGTGACAAAAGCCAGGGCCAGGGGTTCACACCTTGAAACTCTGCCTGAGCTGTGTGGACCTCCAGAGCTGAGGCCAGGATCTGACTGTAACTCTGCTTTACCCAGGGGTCTCTGATGAAATACATCAGCCCATTCTTTCCCATTTTGTTTCTAGATGAAAACCAAGAACAAACAAAAAGCAAACACCGAAACAAGAAAAAGAACAGGAGAGAAAGGAAGGAAAAAGGGAACCCAGTTGAGGCTAATATTGTAATAAATTTAAGTGGCTTGATTTCAACTGAAATCTAACTAACTCATCCTACTTACAGAAACGGGAAGGCTGGTGGCTTGGTATAAAATGAGCAGAGCACAGCTATCCCACATGGGAGCTGGCTCTCGGTCACCTGTCACCTGTCTCTGACTGGGGGCGAGGGGGGGGGCTGTCTCTTGAGTTCTCTTTCAAAGGTGCCAATTTTCAAAGCATAGCATTATATACGGCAAGAGAGTACTTGACAT